TCATCAAAAATTTTGTTTTACATCCGCTGCGCAAACCCTAGAACCGATCTCTTAGAAATTAGATTCGCTCTAGAGATCTCAGAATTCCAACAGTGGTATCAGAGCCTGGTTGTTAAGTATTTAATTTGGAAATTTGGTTAAAGTTGAGTATTTAATATGTGAATCTCCCTTTTTTTTATAATGTCTCGGTCCATCTTTGACAAGTGTGTGCGCCTTTTAAATCAAAGTGAGATCAGATGACTTCCAGTAATTACCAAATATAAATTGGTAACGTACATTTCAATTTTGATAAATAAATGTGTACTTTTATGTGTATTTATGTGATTATACGTGCCAATACACTTTTTTCGACGCCCCCTCTAGTATTAAGTTTCAGAATACGTAACATTATTATTGTGTGCTTCCACATACAATATCAGGAAAATGTATTTTAAACTAATATATATATATATATATATATATGCTTAAACGGACAAGGTTTTCCTATTAATTTACACAAAATCTGAGGAGAAAAAAGAAAAAAGAAAAATCTATGAAGAATCTTGTAAGCTTGCCCTCCATCATGCATGTGTATATATATACATGTTATACATATATATATATATATGCACACTCCAACACTGTAATTGTGTATACGCATGTATAGATGTTGTGCAAGTAAACATATATTGTGATCCTTTAGTTTGTGGAGAAAGTGGTGCATGACTGAGGAAGCTGTGGTGAACAAGGGCTCCCGCCATTTTTTGCATTAAAGTAGTTGTTATTATTATTAGGGAAAAAACCCTAAAAATTCCTGAACTTGTATTTTGGAGTAATATTAATTCCTAAACTTGTAGAGGTGCCTATTAATTCCCAAACTTGCAAAATTGAACACGTTAAATCCTGAACTTGTTAAACGGTTCCATATTTGTCCATAGCGTTATTTGGTCAAAAAAACGAGTTGACCGATCCGACGTGGCGCGCCACGTCACACGCCACGTCGGATCGGCCTTCCAAGGAAGAAATCGAAGAGCTCATAAAGAACGGCGCTTTTGATCGAAGGTTTTTTTTTAAGCTCTTCCCGAATTCCCCTGTTTTCATTCTTGTTTCGTTTCAATTAATCTTAGATGTGGTTCAATTTGTTGACATTTATCCGTATTTTGCTGGCGACGATGCTAAGAGTAATGATGATGAAGAAGAAGAAGTATGTGTAGATGGCGAAGCTGAAAATTCCGGAGATGAAGTTGCTCAGGTGTTAGCCGTGGCGGTAAGAACTCTTCTTCCATGGATGTTGATGATGTTGCTGATGGGCTGAAGGAACTTGACGTGGATAATTACGATGACGAGGATGAAGGTATGTCGGCTCCTTCTGTTTTGTTTCTCTGCATCAGGCAAATATGCTTAATTAAGACATGCATTTTTTAAAAATATTCTCCAAGTAGAAACTAATAACATTACCAAAAAAAAGTCTTTAACATTCAAATGAATATTTTTTCAACTTTTATTTCTTTTCTCTCAGTTTGTGAATGAAAATAAAATTATGAACTGTTCTTTTGAATAAATATTCATTTATCGTAGAAATTATATGAAATTTAATATGATTTTCAATCTCGTTAGGAAGAGTAGAAAGAAAAAAAATTATTTGAGTACAATTTAGCATTTTCCCGAAAATAAAAACCAGTAATTTGCCAAAATAAAACAAGGTAAATAATAATTAAATAAAAGCTTTATATGAATAAAAACAAAGTAAATAAATAAATAAACAGGTTTTTGGATAAGAACGAACC